ACACACCAACATCTTATCAAGACTATGGATACTCATACCGGCTGAGAGACACTAACATCTTATCAGGACTATGGATACTATCTGAAAGTGCTCATGGACAAATCTCACCATCTTGTCGTTCATGCGTATGTGTTGTGTCTATCTACATTGCTTGCTGTGGAAGACTTTTTTGATACCTTAAACCATGCCCTGTTAAGGACACGGTGTGAGAGATCTTTTTTTTTATATATATATATATATATATATATATATATATATATATATATATATACCACTCTCTCCTTATGTGTCGGACCTTTTTCTATCTAAGCAACAAGGGCAGTGCATCTTAGAAGCTGCAGCCCCTTGTACACCTCCGTCCATCTTTAGGACGGCTGTGCGGAATGTAATTTTGCTGTACTAAACTGTACAATGACAAAGATTATTCTGATTTTGAGAGTTAATGACATCTCCCAGGCTCTTTCTTGACCTGCCTCCCCCACATTATCAATTACTGTAAAAATACACTTGTGTTTACGATTTATTAGAACTCGTTTTTTTTTTTTTACTTCTGTGACATCATGAATCTGCAAATTAAACTTCATACAACTGATTGATTTTTGAAACCTGAAAGTCACAAATTAAATGGAAGATGGAAATCAAGTACAGCAGGGGTGTTAAAGTATATTTTATGTTTAACATATTATCTTGGGGGCAAGATAAGATGTCATTGAGGGCCACATTTGGCCCCCGGGCCTTGAATTTGACATATGTGAAGTACAGCATTAGAAACTTCTATCTGACTTGTGATGGACATTTAAAGCAAAAACACTCAAATTAATTTTTTTTTTTTTTTGAATATTTGGAACATATATATGAAGAAGTGGACTACATCCCATTTAACAGATTAATTACACAATATGGGATTGATAAGAATAATTTTTTAGAATATCAACAAATTAAATCTATAACCAAAAATAAATTTAACCTTAATAACACTAGGATTGAAATGTCAAAAAGTGTATTAGAATTCCTTAATCTTAACCCTCCCAAATTCCTATCTAAGGTTTATCAGAAACTCAGTAAAATAGATGAAGCTATATCTCTTCCCATTGTAAAATGGGAGACAGACTTGTCAATTTTGACCAAAACTTTTGGTCGCAGA